TCCGTTTCGCGCTCACCGCGTTCTCCACACCTTTCGCATTTATTTTTAGAAGACGCCCGCACGACGACGCCGCGCGCTTGAAGGGTTATTGTTAAGATAAATCTCACTCTGTCCCCTTTCCCAGGCTACCTTCGGCCCTTCCGGCTTAACTCAATTTCCCCCGTGCCGCGGCGTGGACCACCGGCTCGCCGTTGATGTAAAGTCTAGTTTACACGAACAACGGGCGTTCGGGCGCGCAACGGCGAGATGTACAGGGAGCGAATCCCGACCACTAATTAAGAGACGCGCCGCGGTTCGTTCGCGCTCGGGGAATTCGGGGTAGTATCTCTCTCCCTCGCTCGTCTTGAGAGACGAATGCCCTCGTTTCGCGAACACGTATACTTCGGGGATTCCATTACGTTACCCGACACACACCGCCACGGGATGTTACGACAAATTCTTATTGTGTCTCGCGGATTCCAAAAACAAGACGTGCCCCCTGCGGGTCTTATATTTTTCGCGATACCGTATATGTGCCAGAGAACTAATTATTAAATCAGTCTCGTTCTATAATATTTGTTTATTATTTAACGCATCGAGGCTAAATAGTTTTATTTAAGAAAGAGGTCCTCTTCAAAAAATTAGCAATGTTGGCTGATCTAAACTTTATATATCATTAGTATTATTATTTTTTATTTATTTATTTCTCAATCTCTAGCTTTGGACTATATATGGACTATACATGATAAAAAAATAATAACATAGTATGATAAAATAACATAGTATGATATTAACGTAAAAAATGCAATCCTTAATCATAAATTATTTTTTGTTCTATTTTATTCAATTCTATTCTTTTTTTTTTTTTCCTATAAAGTACCCATAGTACAATGTTCGAATATTATCGGAAATTATCATAAATATAAAAAATATTATCAGAATATAAAAATATTATATTTAAACAAATTAATACGCATTATTCTCATTTTATTTGTTTAGTGTTTAAATAAAAAAAGATTGTTCTCAAAAGTTTTATAAAAAAAATAGGATACTCTAATATCTTATTACTCATTAGAGATCAGTCGTATTTCATTTATTAAGTATTTATTATACATCAAACACATCAAAGATAAATATAAACAATTTTATTTTAAGGAGAAAAATTGTTCTCAAAATATTGTAATCTTCTGTCCCGCTAAACTTTATCCGCTATCTCTTAACATCATTCGAAAATACCTAGATCCATTTACGCCTCCCAGATGCGTGCAAGATTTCGTCAAAATAACGAAGTCAACGCACACAGGACACAATTAAAGTCGAAGTCTCCGAATCGGCGAGGTTTCCTCGCAACGATCTCGGCTCCGGCGAATCGCGCGAGGAAATCGGGGAACGCCGAGATGATGGGATAGTCGTGGATCGTGCGAAGGGAGGCCGAGAACCGAAGACGACGCCTTGGAGTCTGCGGCCCCGAGGATCCAATTATCCAACGGAATAAAATTGCGCTCGAGGGCGACTCGTCCGCTCTCGCACGCGTCGCTCGCGTATCCCGGACGGCGAGTGTACGGGGGAGTAATTTCGCTGTAATACCAGTGCCGCGGCGCGGCGGGGCGGGCCTCATCGGCGTCGTGTGTTGTTGAGTCGGTGGTTTCGCCGTGTTTACCGTGGCGATGCGCCGTGACGGTCGCGTCCCTGGGAAAATTGAGTTACGGGAAGAGAAGAGATGGAGTAACTTCCGCGCGCGAGACGACAGACACGATGCAGCGTCCGATACAGCTCGGCAAGAATACCCTTACGAAAAAATACACCGAACTATAGGCATTGGCGGTCCAAAATAACACTCGAATTAAGTGTTGATCCTCAAGATGGAGATTTATTTGGAAGTTGACACACAATAAGTGCCATTTCGGACCGCTAACGCTTAGTTCGGTGTATTTTTTCGTAAGGGTAGGTATAAGGTAAATTAAAGAGAAAATACTTAACAGAACTTTAATTTTATCAAAATATTACAAAGTATGCATTGGCCATCTTATCTGATTTTTAGGGAAAAGATGGTCATGATATTAAAAAAAATAGCCATAGTATTTATAAATAAATAGTGAAAATAAAAGTATTAATTATAGGTCACATTGCAATTTACGTACCTTTATTGTGTATGTAATGTTGATTATGGCAGCTTAACTATAATTTATTAGACATTATAACAGTTTTTAGCAGACACGTGCAAAACTTTGCAGATAGTCGAAAGAAAAAATATTAGATAATATTTATAATATTGTTATTTTGAACAGTGTACTCATATGAACTACTGTAAATATTGATTATCTTTAAGAATGACTATAAAAATGCACTATTTATTAATTGTTGGAGAAATTATGGCCTATGGCCATCTTTTCCGTATGGCCATAATACCCTAGTTTACCCTATGTGATCTTCGGATCGCTCTCTCTCTCTCTCTCTCTCTCTCTCTCTCTCTCTCTCTCTCTCTCTCTCTTGACTCGCTAAAAATCGATTTTTGTGAAAAAATCGCTTTAAAAATCGCCCTTCTATTAAAAAAAGAAGATTTCTTATGAAAAGATCGCCTGAAAATAGTCTCTTTTAGTTACAATAGAAAAATCAACCCATACAGAGATAGCAGTTACGACGAAAGCAACGCTATGACTGTCAACTGACGACTCAAAGTTTTGTCAGCCAGTACTAAGCCATCACTGGCAAATGACTGACTAAAATGAATGGGTCAGTACCATCTGTCAGTACTGCACTGAAAAAAATGTTATTCATAATATCAATGAATGACATTTACTGACTTTAAATTCATTGATACAATGAACTTTTAATAGATATTATGAATATTTTATTGAGTATTTTTTATTAGCTAATAACTGGATTTATTAATATAACAAATCACTGTTTATTAATATACTGTACTTGAATATAACATAACTTAATATAACATTTAATTGAATCAATGAAAAAGTT